GGGAAGATTGGAGGAGACTCGAAATCCTTGCAGGCTGGGAAGATGGACTCGTTACCAGTAGAGAGTCGAGAAGATTATTCAGCAGATAGAAAGTCCCCTAGCAACATTTCTGATTTGTCGGGTTTCTCTGTTAAGTTATCAAACTGGGATTTGTGGCATTTTCGTTTAGGGCATCCTAATTCTGTTAGACTGCGTACTATGTTTAAGAATAAGTGGTTATCTGGTGGGAATGCTATTGATCAGGAGCATGAGTGTGTTCATTGCTTGCAAGCCAAATTATCACAGAGTTCATTTAATTCTAGTGAGACTGTTTATTCAGCTCCATTTGATCTTGTGCACACTGATTTATGGGGTCCTTCGCCAGTGACTTCTCGTATGGGCTTCCGGTACTTCGCCCTGTTCGTTGATCATGCTACGCGGTTCACCTGGGTTTTCTTTCTGCGCCAGAAGTCTGAAATGCTCACGATCGCGCAGGAGTTTCTTCAGATGGTATCGACACAGTTTGGTAAGACTGTGAAGATTCTGCGATCGGATCCAGGAGGTGAATTTACTTCACATCCTTTGCAGGCTTTATTACGTGACCGGGGTATTCTCATACAGCAATCATGTCCCGGCGTATCCCAACAAAATGGGTTGGTGGAGAGGAAGCACCGTCACGTGCTCGAACTTACTCGGGCTATTCTTTTCCACTCGCAGGTCCCCTCTGGGTTTTGGGTGGAGGCAGTTCACACGGTGGTTTATCTAATTAATCGTCAGATCACGTCTGTTTTGCAGGAACGTAGTCCTTATCAGGCGTTATACTCTAAACTTCCGAACTATGGATGGCTTCGTGTGTTTGGGTGTGCTTGTTATGTTCTTTTGGCTCGCAGGGAACGGAATAAGCTCACTCCAAAAGCTGTCCGATGTGTTTTCCTTGGCTATAGTGACAAGCATAAAGGTTATGTTTGCTATGACGTCGGTAATCGACGTATTCGCATCTCAATACACGTTGTTTTTCTCGAACATATTCCTTACTATGCTTCGTTGGATTCTATCACATCACCACCGCCGAATCTTGATTTTCTTCAGGCCTTTGAGTTTCCATCTCATGCAGCACCAGTGATAGATGACGAAGGAAATGATAATGGAAATGGTGGACCACATTCTAGCTTGGAGCTAGACTTTTCTGACAGCTCCGAGTCATCTTCGACCTCCCTTAGTTCCTCGGCAACAGTCTCTTCCAGCGCTCCAACGGAGGACTCGACAGCTTCCACCACTTCGACGTCCTCGTTCAGCTCGGGTGGATCCAGTTCCGAGGCTTCCATGGAATCTCTCCATGAGGCCGATGAAGTTGCCCCACCCCTACGGCGCTCCTTACGTGTTAACAAAGGAAAACCTCCCCTAAGCCACTCCGACTTTGTGGCCTTCTCCACACCTTCAATCGTGATTCCCGCGACGTACAAACAAGCAAAAGGGATTGATTGTTGGGAGACAGCCATGACAGTTGAGTCAGATGCACTTGAAGCGGCTCAGACGTGGGAGTTAGTCCCTAGGCCTCCTAATGTTACGGTTATCGGAAGCAAATGGGTATATAATGTGAAGATGCAGCCGGATGGTGCAGTAGAGAGATTCAAAGCACGGGTTGTTGCTCAAGGATTTCGTCAAGAGTATGGTGTGGATTACTCAGAAACCTTTGCTCCGGTGGCGAAAATGCAGACAGTTCGGAGTTTGTTGGCAGTGGCAGCAATGAAAGAATGGCCACTTTTTCAGTTGGACGTGAAGAATGCCTTTCTCCACAGCGATCTCAAAGAAGAAATATATATGGAACGACCGCCGGGATATAAGAAAGGTGATAGCTCCATGGTTTGTCGGCTGAAGCGATCTCTCTACGGCACGGCTTGAAACAAGCTCCTCGAGCATGGTTTGAAAAGCTCCAGGACACTATCATGCATGCTGGTTTTGTGCAGAGTAAGAGTGACCCCTCACTCTTCCTCCGTTCTACGGTTCGTGGTCTCACGGTAATCTTAATCTATGTGGATGATATGGTAGTCAGTGGAGATGACAAGGAGGGTATTTGTGAACTCACACAGGTCTTGCGGTCAACTTTTAACCTTAAGGAATTAGGCGATCTTTCTTATTTTCTTGGGTTAGAAATTCATCGGTCTAAAGAGGGCATTCATGTGGGTCAGAGGAAGTATGTTATAGACCTTCTTGAGGAAGCACAGATGGAAGACTGTATACCTTGCTCGACGCCTATAGAACAAAATCTCAAACTTCGCAAGACAGATGGAGAACTTCTGCAAAATGGGTCAGTCTATCGAGGTATTGTGGGCAGTCTTATATATCTAACTCATACGCGGCCGGATATTTCATATGCTGTTCAGGTGGTAAGTCAGTTTATGACAGCTCCGAGGACTTCACACTGGACAGCAGTGCAGCGGATCCTGAGGTATCTTCGAGGGACACTGGATGTGGGGTTATTATTCCCAGTGCGAGGAGAGGCAGTGATGGAAGCTTACGCAGACGCTGACTATGCGGGGTGTCTTGATACACGACGATCTACATCAGGCTGGTGTGTGAAGGTGGCCAACTCATTTATTTCTTGGCGCTGCAAGAAACAGGATCGTGTTTCGAAATCTTCTACTGAGGCTGAGTATCGGTCTATGAGTGAAGTTGCATCGGAAATTGTGTGGCTCAAGAGACTGCTGGCTGAATTGGGAGTTGCGATTCAGCCACCAGTTCGGTTACATGTGGACAACACCAGTGCTATTCGAATTGCTACTAACCCGGTACTTCATGACACGACAAAGCATATTGAAGTTCATGTGCATTACATTCGACAATTGGTGGTTGAAGGAGAAGTAGAACTGGCATACATAACTTCGGAGAATCAAACTGCAGACCTGTTAACTAAGGCGGTTGCGTCAGCACGACATTGGTTTTTAGCACACAAATTGATGTTACGACAACATCAATTTGAGGGAGGGTGTTAGAAGTTTAAGTACCAATTTGCAATTGTCCAAAGTAGGGTTAATAGCTTGTATATATACGTGTGTTGTATGGCCGCCTAGGTCAAGGATTTTTGGTGATAATAAGAACTCTCTGCCGTAGTGCCGTGGACTAGTCTCAACGATCATCGTTGGGGAAACCTCGTAATCTCGTGTGTTCGTGTGATCCTCGTATAAGAACTCGTGTGTTTAACACTCCTCCCGCTGCAGAACCCAATTCCTAGGCCCCTTAATCAACAACCTAGTCAACCCAAACACCGCATCCTTAATGACCGACCTGAGCGGCGGCTTTGCAATTTTCCTCTCGCCGCCGATGCGTCCTCCAACACCATTCCATTCCATTCTTCTTCCCATCACCGTATCTCTCCATTCTCCAATGTTCAACGCCTTCCCCTTTTTCCAATAGAGACGGTTGAGTGGGTAGAAGAAGAAGCAGAAGGGCAAAGCTTTTGTATTAATCACAATTTTCAGCCAATCTTTCTCTCCTATATATAGTTTTATATTCCTTAGCTAACCAATAAATGATACAGATGGCAGAGATCTAGGCTCCAACGGTAGCACCAACAATCACGTCGTCGTTCTCAACGTCAAGCAAGATCATCATCCGGCGCGGCCGCCGGCGCGTTCCTCTCCATATCCGTTCCCTTCGCCCAGAAGGTTGAATTACGAAAATTACCTACCATCATCGAGCAGAACCTTGTCGCCTCGAGAGCCCTCGATCGATTCCTCTCCTTCGGCGGGGGTAAGGAGGAAGCGATTTCCCCCAATTGATATGCGAGTCAGGGAGTTTTGGAATAGAATGCAGAGGTTGAGTTTCGTCGAGCTGACTCGGATGATGGCTAGATTGAGGAGATTGGAGGGCAACCGAGAGAGACTGGCCGATTGAACGATCCGATGGCGAAGAAGGTTTTTGTTATGGTAATGAGGTGGAAATTATACAAATTAATTTTTATTTATTTTATTATTTTTTAATTGTCACGTCACTTATTTAACGGTCAACTTTTAGGGTTGACTGCCACGTCAGATAAACTTAAAGGAGACTAACGGAGAGTGACCAAATTTGGACTGCATAACTAATTTAAGTGACCATGAATGGAATAAATTAATCTTAGTGGCAAATATAAAATTTTATAATAATTCTAGTGACCAAACTTGCAATTTAGCCAAATGAAAAAGGTATTAAATGGGAGATGGAAGCAACATTTAGGCGGGATACTATAAAATTATAGGACTTAATGGTCAAAAATACCCCTGGCAAAAATTAAGGGGAGGCCATGGATTTTTTAATGGTGAAAAAGCTGTAAAACTCCACAATATTTTTTTTATGAAGGATGGTAAGGTAAATTATCCTTTAAAGTGATAAGCGCGTAATCTTTTATCCATCAACATATCTTACCAGCAAACAACAAACTTTTAAAATCTATAATGGGCCAAATCCATCACAAATCCTTGATTTTCCAAAATTTTGAATTTTCAAATTCAGGAGTTGTTTGGTTTTTATGATAGTTTGGTTGGGATAGACGGATAGTTACAATGCATATGCATTTTTTTAAAAAAAATTATGTACAAACAATATATGCATTATTTGCTTGATGTGACACAAACTATCATCAAAATGAGTGATTGTTAAATCTCAAGTTTTTTGTAAGATTGTTTGGTTGAGATTGTTGAGACTATTTTTCTTCCAATTATGTCTCTACCTTATTATGTGTATTGCTTTCTTATATAAAAAATTAAGGGAAAAAATGACATTTCAACCAAAAGTAATATAACTTATTTAAATAAGAGATTTCCGAGCCCAGGAGTTTAAGGTTATTTTTGTTGGTCGTGACTATAACAGGGTTGCCCACTTGGTGGCAAGAAAAACCCTTTTGTTGTCCCCCTCCTTAGTGAGATTCAATTTTGTTTCTTGGCTGTTTTCAGCTATGTGACTCTTTGTATCTAACTGTTTTTTGGGTAATACGAGTGATCTTTTCATAACAAAAAAAAAAACAAACGATGTAAACTATAATACACCAATTTTCTTATATACACGTATATTATTATGCATGTATTAATGACAATGCATCAATTTAACTATCATCGAAACCAAACTCAGTAAGCAAAATATCAAATGCTCTATACACGTATAGGTGGAAGTTGACGATGAGACAAAATCCATCCATGCTCGATGAGAGAGTAAGCCATTTAGCCATTACATCACTTCCTCTGGTGATAAATTCAGTCTTCTAATCCAGCTTCAAACTGCATTACTCAGTGACATAATGCTCAATCTCCCAGTTCAACACTTGTTTAAGATCTGACACAAGAAAATGCAAAAGAAAAACATGATTTTTGTGATTTCATGATCGTTATGCTGTCCATTCATCAATCTCTAATTTTTCTTTCCATGACCAGGGACACCCACTGCTCTCTAGTTTTACTAAACCCCAATTCATTAGAGTCCACTGCCTCTGATAAACTCTGTTCACAAGCTATCCATTATAGCACCAAAACCATCCAACAACCTCAATACAACAATGAAGAAAATTGAAACCAATAATTGTAAAAAATAAAGAATAAGGAGACTGTTAATCACCCCCAGTAGCACAAATGGTCGAAATTGATTGATGCATCAAGCCTGTACCGGAGATTTATCAGCCGACAAAATTAGTGACAATCTGTTGATCCCTGTTCCCAGCTAATCAACTTCCTGAACCTATAAAACAAAGGTGAAAAGTATGCAGCAGATGAGTAAGGACTATATTTCTAACTTGAGCTCTAATAACAACAGGCGTAATATGTTTTACCATTTTGTGTCGTAAATCAAATGAACATCAACTGTTGTCCAGTGACATTAACTAACATGCAATGGATCACCAGTTGCCACAATCTTGTGTGTCGAGAAATCTCTCAGCAGAGAGAGCATGACAAGAAGAGTGAGCGTCTTTGTGCAAGGATGTCAGTTCCTTGAGGCAACCTGGCAGAAGTAGCAACTAGCTATAGAGGCAAAAGTGCAGAGCAGTTAGTGACAGGGAAAGTATCCAATCACCATTATTACCAAGGAGAAGACAGTCAAGCACAATATCAGTCTCAGTCATTCCATCTGAAGAAGGATTAAAATCTAAGATCTATCATATGTGAAGAAGCTATATGCAACGGAGTTGATGATAAAGGGTATAACAAGATTCGCGATCTTTAGAAAGAATATTGCAACATGCTACAATGAAGAAGCTTCTGCAGACTACTTCTCAAGGACATAATGGTCCCATGTATAAGTATTGGATTCACGGGGTCCAGTTGATTCCTAACATCCTGAAAGCATGAGGAAAGCTTTTCTTCCACAAAAACATACCATCCCAGCCAACCAACATGAAGGGGCAGTATGAGTGAGGTACCTTAAGTATCAATCCATGGTTCCCAGAAGAAATATGATCACCAAAACAAATTTCACTATCTTTGACTTTAAATTCACCAGTTGCGACATCAGCTTCATTGAGTCTACAGTCATTCCAATCTTCAACTTTCGAGGACATTGATCTTCTGGAACGTGTCTTTTCAAGGATAGAAACCACATGTTGCTTGCATAAAAATCCTCTGCAGGCTCACCCCTAACATAGACAAGAAGATAGTAAGTATTATTTATTATACAGACCACCAGGAAGGCATTTCCAACTAATAATAGAAGGCCAGGTCACTTTTGTCCCTGGATGATTTAGTTTTAAGCTTTCATGTGCAGACTTTTCATTATCAAGGGTCGATCTCTGAGGAAAAATGAAACAATTTGAAAGCATACCTAAGAAATGGTAAGGGGAAAAGGCAGGAATTGAGATGAAACAACATACCTCAGAAAGTTTTGAATCCATGCATAATCCTATCAACATCAGAAAGTTTAGGATCCATGCATAATCCTGTCCACATTCCACCACATCCACTTTCAGAACAGCTTCCATGAGAATGTTCCTTGGTGGAGCAGAACTACCACCAATCTGTTGCTGATGAGTCAAGTCCCCTGGAAGAGGAATTGTCTGTTATAACCAAAAATTTAATGTCATGTAGAGATAGCAATTTGGAAAGAGCAATTTATAGCAATGCAGTTTGAGGCACAAGACCCCCCCCCCCCCCCCCCCCCCCCCCACCCCCCTCTTTCAAACCCTTTTCTCCTCTCTTCTTGAACGGTTCTTCATCTCACTGAAACTCAACAAACTCCTAGGTGTAAGAAAGATCAATAATTATCTACTGATACGCTTCCATATACAGGCCTTAAAAAAACTGTCTGAAAGAGAATTTCTTTCTGTATGAGCATTATTTGATAATGAAAAACTCAGGAAATTAGAATTAAGTCACAGCCGCTGGTGAAACTTCCTTCACTCGCTGCTTATAATACAGGTTTATGAAGTTACGTAAGAGGTTTAGGAACCTATATGGCCTGCATTGCTCCCTATAGAAGTTTAAAACATAATTAATCTAAAATTTATATTCTTTTATCTTAATCTATAATTCTCTGTTACTTACTACAAGATCTATCCTCAGGCAGTCAGGCTTTGTGGATTTGCCTATCACCTTTATTAGACTATTATAATAATGACTTGATCACATCTTACAAGACTTTTGAATTTTGATAGATGAAAAGAAATGTTATCATTATAGTTTAATAGACAATGTCTGGAAGAACCAAAGCTACATTTATTCTGTGAAAAACAAGTATTAGGTACCATTAGGAAAACTGGAAAAGGCTAGCCTTGTGACAGCATATACTTACCCACACAATTTATTATAGAGGCATACAGCCAAAGACATAATAGCAACATCTTAAAAGCACCATAATGAGAGTATCATGGTACTTACCAGAAGTCAAGGCTCCGAATGTGGAGTATTCTGCACAGTACTCCATGTCAACATAGAAGTCAAACTTTTGAGATGACCAAACCTATCTGAAATACAGACACAAATTGTCATTGAACATGACTTCCTTCAGATAAGCATGTGATATATTGAATCGTGACAGCAATAAAAGCAGAGAAAACAGTCAAGCACAATTCAGAGCATTTTTTTTTTCTGTGGGAATTCAGAGCATTTTTAAGGTTGAATGAATTACCCTCTCAATGTCAAACGATGAGTCGCATGATTCAGAGCACTATGCGTACTTAATTTCAGCCTCATTCCCTTCCTCATCATGTCATCTTGTAATTCCAATGCCTTCTCCACTTCCCCGACAATACAGCAACCGTATATTAAAAAATTGTATGCTAGAGTATCAGGCTTCACGCCCTTACTTAACATACTCCCCCACATATCTATGGCTTCCTGCAAATTTCCCCTTCTGCAGTACTCGTATATTATCGTCGAGTATGTAATGCAATCAGGAAAAATACCAGCCTCAGTCATTCCATCTACAAGTTTCATTGCCTCTTCCATCTTACCTGATCTACAGAAGCCCCGGATAAGAATATTGCATGAAACGGTGTTGGATACAAAGTCTTTCATCATGATGTTGTGAAGTTCTCTAGCTTTCTCCATGTTTCCCTCCCTGACTAGATGGTCGAGAAAACAGGTGTATGTCACATGATTTGGGAGAGAACCGCCGGCCAGCATTTCCTTGCAAAGAAGCACAGCCTTATCCATCAACCCCGACTTGCACAAACCATTGATGAGGGCAGTGTAAGTTATTGTACTTGGTATGCATCCTTCATTGATCATTATATCCCAAAGTCCCAATGCCTCCTTAAGGTTGCCTATTTTTCCATGACCATCAATCATGCTTGTATACATTACATTGTCAGGCTTCAATCCTTGATTACGCATATCGTTTAAAAGACCCAACAACGTTTTAATATCGTGCTTCCTCATGGTTCCATCTACAAGCACTGAGTAACAAACTAGATCCATGTCAATGCCTCGATCTACCATCTCACGAGCAGAAATCAGAGCGCCGATTAGTCTTCCTTCCTTGCAATAGCCTTGAAGTAGTGCACCATAACATAACTCGTTTAATTTCCGATGCTCTCTATGAAGGCTTTCAATAAACTCCTTAGCTTCAGAAACTCTACCGGTAGAACAAAGGCCACCAATTAGAGGCCTATATGTAAATGTATCTGGAACAAGACCCTTATTCAGCATTTCATGAAACAAAACAAAAGCCTCGGTTATGTTCCCATCCTTGCAGTGTCCTTCAATCAGGATATTGTAAGTCACCTCATTTGGCATAACATCCCACTTCACCATATCTCTGAAACATACAGACAGCTTCATTCATCATATTTGCTTGACAGAAGCCGCGTACAAGTGCAGTGAACGTATAAATATTTGGAGCGATACCCTTGCCAGTCATCTCATGGTACAACCTAAGTGCTTTCTGTATGTCTGTATTGTTGCAGAGTCCACTTATAAGTGACGTGTATGTTACAACAGTGGGTATCAGACCCATATTAACCATCTCATCGAAGAAAGACCACGCTGCATTCAGATTGCCAATCTTGCAATGACCATTTATTAGAGAATTGTACGGATAGACTGTGATTTTTACTCCCGCCTCAATCTGAAGAGAATAACGTGGCTATTGCTGATTAAGTAGCTAAATATTCTTAATTGATTATTTAGAGGAGTTACCTTATGTTAGATCACTAACTTAGGAAGGTCTCTAGTAGACCTCTGTGTATATATTGACAGCCCAAGTTAGGCTAATAATAAGAAGAAAAAGAACCGAGGAAACAACCTCAGGATTCTCCAAAAACTTTCATGGTATCAGAGCCTACTCTGACCTAATTCCGCCGTCGATCTGACCGTATTCTCCTATCCCTCTTTCTCTTCTTCATTTTTCTGGAAAACCCGCCATCTTCGTCATGACGAAAGACGACTCTAGTCACTCCTCAACGAATACAGAAGGCAGTGCTCCTCCAACAAACAACTTCAGCACCGTAACACCAACCTCCACCGATTTTTCCAGCATCCTAACGAGTTACAAGCTCGACGGGAAGAACTATCTCAAATGGTCAAAAACCGTTGAGATGAATATTGCAGCCAGGAGCAGAGGAGGATATCTGACCGGAGCCATCAAGCGCCCCGAAGCTACAGACCCCCTGTATCAAAACTGGTATGACAATGATGCCCTGGTCCGAATATGGTTGATCCATTCCATGAAGCCAAGTATCGGGGAAAACTACCTTCTCCATCCCTCTGCGAAAGCAATCTGGGATGCAGCCAGAAACACCTACTCAACGGTTGATAACACATCTGCATTGTTTCGGATTGAAACACAATTGTTTCAACTCAAACAAGGGGAGATGGATGTCACAGACTACTTCAACTTGCTGGGACACCACTGGCTGCACCTAGACATGTACGAGGCAATCGATTGGGAGACCCCTGGAGATCAAGAGAAATTCAAGCAGTACATTGAGAAGAAACGAACCCTGTATTTCTTACTTGGTTTGAATCAAGACCTAGATGAGATCAAGGGTCGGATGATGGGATTGAAGCCTTTCCCCGGCATCGAGACTGTCTTTGCTGAGATATTAAGGGAGGAGAGCAGACGTCAGCTGATGCTCAATCCTAAGCCAAGCCAAGGGGAAAGTTCAGCGTTAGCTGTTCGTAATCCTCAGAAGAATAAGCCACAGGACCACCCAAGTCAAAAGCGGGATGACGATGAGTCCGAGCTCTATTGTGACAACTGCCACAAGCATGGTCACGTTAGAGCTGATTGCTGGTACATCATCGGATTCCCAGCCAACTGGAAACCAAAAGGAGAAAAGAAAAACAACAATAATGAGGCTGGAAGACGTCGAGCTCATGTAGCAGCTGTGGCATCTGAGAAGAAACCAGAACCTGAATCAACCCCTACTCCTTTTACCAAAGAGCAAGCTGGTGCCTTAGAGAAGTTCTTCAAAGCAATGACTATAGGGCAGCCATCCCAACAGAATCAAGCAGGCATGTTCACAAGCATGTTTGCTAACCAAGGTAAACAGTTTACAGCTCTTTCAGTCCAATCTACATCAGGTGTTAAGTGGATAGTTGATTCAGGGTGTTCCGATCACATGACTGGAAATAAAGAATTATTAAGTGACTATCAGAGATATCCGACCAAAGCTGGGGTAAGAATAGCTGATGGCAGCCTATCTCCTGTAGAAGGAATTGGAAGGATCCGACTAAATCAGTACATAGAGTTATTCCCTGTCCTACATGTCCCCAAGTTAAACTGCAATCTCGTGTCAATCAGTCAGATAACTAGGGATTTGTCTTGCAATGCCATATTCAGTTCTAATCGTTGTTCCCTGCAGGAGGAAGGCTCCGGGAGGACGATTGGAACTGCTGAAAGGCATGAGGACCTCTTCATCATTGAAGGACGTGGTGATGAAGAAACAAGAGGAACAAGGAGGGCTCTAGCTACTAGTAGTACTGATAGGATAGATGGCCAAATCATGTTATGGCATACACGATTAGGTCATCCCAGTTTTGGATATCTCGAACGGTTGTTACCAAATTTGTTTCGGAATAAAAGCTCCAAGTTGTTGCAATGTGAAACATGTCAGTTGGCTAAACACACTCGAAGTGTTTATTCGGTTTTGAGTTATAGACCAACCCAACCGTTTGCAATTATCCATAGTGACATATGGGGACCCACACGAGTCAAGAACATCAATGGAGCTAAGTGGTTTGTCACTTTCATCGATGACCACACTAGACTTACGTGGACATTCTTGATGAAAGAAAAATCTGAAACAACCAGCGTGTTTCAGGAGTTCTACCATATGATTCTCACTCAGTTCAAGACAAGAATACAAGTCCTCAAGACGGACAATGCTCATGACTACTTTAATTCTGTCTTAGGGACGTTTCTTGCACAAAATGGGATTGTACATTGCAGCTCCTGTGTAGATACTCCCCAACAAAACGGAATTGCAGAACGGAAGAATCGTCACTTATTGGAAACGGCTAGGGCACTACTATTTGGAAATCAAGTTCCCAAACACCTATGGGGAGAGGCTGTATTGACTGCTACATACCTCATCAACAGGCTTCCTAGTCGAATCCTTAAGTACCAGACTCCGAAAGATATCTTGGTTCAAGCATACCCTCACACAGAGGCATATCTCTCGGATCTGGAACCAAGGGTGTTTGGCTGTCTAGCTTTTGTTCATGTGCAACAACATCACCGAACGAAGCTAGACCCCAAGGCTCAGAAATGTGTGTTCATCGGGTATTCCTCTCGACAAAAGGGATACAAGTGTTATTCCCCCATCACACGGAAGGTATTTAATTCCATGGATGTCACCTTTTTTGAGAATCACTCATATTACTCCCACACTGATGTCCAGGAGGAGACATTGGAACAAGAACATCAAGGGTGGGAAAATCTGATTGCTTTGGATGGTTTTACTATGCCAAATGTCACAGTAACTCCTCCACCAGTTGTCACTATAACTCCTCCAACAGCTAATGAAATACCAGTTGGGGATCAGGAAAGGAGACCCGAACAGGTAATTCTAAAGATGTATCAACGACGAAGGAAAAACCACACTCTGAATAGGGCTGAACCAGCTGAAGCAGATTCAGTACAGCCAGAAATGACAATTAGAACAGAAGATGAGGCTTCGGACAATGAAGAACAGCCACCTCATAACAATGTTGATGAAGCAGAAGTCGAAGTGGATAATCAGCAGGAGAATACTGGAGCTAGTGTGTATCAACCGATTGCTCTACGAAAGGGAGTGAGGTCATGTACTAAACACCCCATTCAAAGGTACGTCAGTTATGGACAGCTAAGTAAGGAGTACAAGGCATTCACTAGCCATTTGGACTCAACTCCTAGGACCATTGCAGAAGCAATGCAGCATCCTCAATGGAGACAAGCTGTTCTAGAAGAAATAAGAGCATTAGAAGAGAATGGAACTTGGAGGATTGTGCCTCTACCAACCGGGAAAAAGACAGTTGATTGCAAGTGGATATTCACCATCAAATACAATTCGGATGGAAGTGTTGCAAGGTATAAGGCAAGGCTGGTAGCTAGAGGATTCACACAGTCATACGGCATAGACTATCAAGAAACCTTTGCTCCCGTGGCAAAATTGAAGACTGTCCGAATACTAATGTCCATTGCAGTTAATGAAGACTGGCCACTGTTTCAAATGGATATCAAGAACGCCTTCCTAAATGGCAACTTGAGTGAGGAAGTGTACATGGAGATACCCGAAGGAGTGGAAAATAAGCATGGTAGAGGCTCAGTATGTAAACTGGAGAAGTCACTATATGGACTAAAGCAATCACCACGAGCGTGGTTTCAGAAGTTCTCTAAAACTGTGATGGCAGATGGGTATTCCCAAAGTCAAGCCGATGACACTATGTTTATCAAACATGGACAAGAGGGAAAGCTCACTATCCTGATTGTCTATGTTGATGACATAATTGTCACTGGAAGTGATACTAAAGAAATCGAGAAACTGAAGGCTAGACTGAGAGAAGAGTTTGAGCTAAAGGATCTCGGTGAAATGAAATATTTTTTGGGAATGGAGGTGGCCAGGTCACATAAGGGACTGCTTATATCACAAAGGAAGTATGTCCTTGATCTATTGGAAGAAACAGGAATGACTGGTTGTAAACCGGCAGATACACCGATGCAACCAAACATCCAGTTCAACACCGAATCAGATGTGAAACGAGCTGATAAAGGGCGATATCAGCAGCTGGTTGGGAAGCTAATATACCTATCCCACACACGGCCAGACATTGCATTCGCCGTAGGAGTGGTAAGTCAGTTCATGAATGATCCATCAGAAGAACACCTGGCAGCAGTGACACATATTCTAAGATACTTGAAAACAACTCCAGGACTGGGATTGTTTCTCAAAAAGAATAGCACCCGAACAATTGAGCTATATACAGATGCAAGTTGGGCTAGTGCAATAACATCAAGGAGATCTACTACTGGTTATTGCTCATATGTTTGGGGTAATCTTGTGACTTGGAGGAGTAAAAAGCAATCGGTGGTTGCTAGGAGTAGTGCCGAAGCAGAGTACCGGGCATTAGCTCTTGGCATCCAAGAAGCTATGTGGATTCAAAGAGTCCTAAAGGAACTAAATTTGCCTGGTCAAGAGAAAGTGCAGATGTACACTGATAGTCAGGCAGCCTTGAGCATTGTAAAGAATCCAGTCCATCACGACAGGACTAAACATGTCGAGATAGACAGGCATTTTATCTCAGAGAAGGTTGAATATGGGGTCGTGGATGTCAACTACGTGCCTTCAAGACAACAAACAGCTGACATACTCACAAAGGCCCTAGCTCGTGACTTACTGGAGCATTTCAAGAACAAGCTCGGTCTTCATAACATCTACACCAAGCTTGAGGAGGAGTGAAGAGAATAACGTGGCTATTGCTGATTAAGTAGCTAAATATTCTTAATTGATTATTTAGAGGAGTTACCTTATGTTAGATCACTAACTTAGGAAGGTCTCTAGTAGACCTCTGTGTATATATTGACAGCCCAAGTTAGGCTAATAATAAGAAGAAAAAGAACCGAGGAAACAACCTCAGGATTCTCCAAAAACTTTCACAATCATTCTTTTAAGAGATTGAATAGCAGTACCTACCTTCCCCCTTCGGCAATATGAATCAATCAAAATAGAATAAGTTACATCATTTGGACATAAGCTCTTCATTCTCATGGCTGCAAAAAGAAATTCAGCCTCATTGAATTTCCCATTTTTGCACAAGGAATCGATCAATGCATTATACACGAACAAACTAGGTGCTGCCCCAACTTCACCAACCTTATTTACCAGATCATAAGCATCCCTGATCTTCCCGGTTTTCCTCAAACCCTCAACAAGGCTTGAAATTGCAGCTTCACTCGGAATAAACCCGGAAACAATCATTTCATTCATCATCATTAGACCAGCACCAAATGCTTGCACTTTACACAACCCAAGTACTAACGTGCAATAAGTAACCACATCAGAGGTTAGATTCTTTTGAGTCAAACTATTCTTAATCTCAACAGCTTCCCAAACTCTCTGGCACTTGCAAAACCCATGAATGAGAACATTATAACCCACTATACCTACCTCCAATCTCTCTTTTTCCATCCATTGAATCATCGCCTTTGCTCTAACGAACTCCTTCAGTTCACACAAGCTTCTAATAACTGCTGTGTGAATGTAAACATCAGGTATAATTCCAGCATTCACAATCTCATCATACAAAAGCAGAACCGTCTCAAATTGCCTAATCTTCACAAACCCATTCAGGAGCATACCCAGAGTCCTAACTTCTGGAAATAAGCTGCTGCTCTTCATCAATCTAAAAACCAAAGCAGCATCGGCCATCCTCTTATTGGCCACATAATTCTGAATCAATAGATCGAAACCCAAGCTAGAGCTAAATCTGCCCAAGCGGGACGAGTCCAAGAGAACCTCAAAAACCTGCCTCGGCTCCAACTCGCGAAACAGTAACGTTTGCAGAAGTGAAGAAGCGGGCCATTGAAGATTAGCATTGGCCAACGAATGGATTAGAATGCAGAAGGACAGGGCTGAATGGTCAAAATTTCTATGCAACCCCAGGAAGTTGAAGAACCTCAAAGCTAACCTGGAGTCGTCAACGGTTCGAACTAACACTTGCTCCACATGGCGGGTCCTAATTGAAGCGGAGAGAGAGGGATTGCTGAAAGCTGATCTCCAGCTTTGTTTTCCTCGTACGATGGTTTCGAGAACGCCGACGATGTGGGAATCTCTATCTTTTTCGTCATTATCAGGTCTGCATGGATTGCTGGTGCAGAAGTAGCTAGTTGAGATAAAGTTCGGATTCGAAATGGTTCTTCGTCGAAGATGCCATAGCTTCATTTTCCCCCGGGAGTCCGGCGGAAAGCAGAAATGGTAGCGCCGGTGGTTGCAGTGGAAGAAGGCGGACGAATTTAGATTGGACTTTGGCGGGCAGAAGAGTTTTATGGGCTTTTCACTTTTAAGTTTACAACAAGCCCACTAAGAAAGAACATCCAAACATTTCCACCGATCTTGAAGCCCAATAACTGACAAGTAGTGGATTTAGAGAGGATAATGGGTCGGGTTGGGGCCGGATAGTGTATATTTATTATACTACTCGAAATAGTTTGACTTTTACCTATACGCATACATGGTGACTACTTCGGCGCACTCACAAAAATGAGTACGTTCAATGCATCCAACTCAAAAACTAGTCTTAAGGAGTCGGATTTTGAATTTTAATTTGTAGAATCAGTATAATATGATGATATAACATATGATAACAAGTAATTAGCGGATTACCCTAAGCCCTAGACCTCCAATTTTGAGTCCTATCCCTAAACCCCAAACTGTAAACCCTAACCCTAGATCTTTAAACTCTAAATCCTTCAAATTAAAGCAAATCTTTCATGTTTTTTGTGCAAATTCATGTGCGTTATTGTTCATCACATCATAAGTGATGATTGACATCATTTTGACATAAATCTCATGTTTAAAATGACGATTATGAAGCGAGTGCACTGAATGCACCCAAAAAAGTGAGTGCACCGAAGACGCCACCACGCATGCATATATAAGAATCGGATAGATTATCAAATCATACGCATTCGATCGGATTTTGGATATCCAAGGTTGTCCATAGATAATAATTGATTTTTATAACTTCAAACAATATGTTAACAATTACACATATATTGACATTACATAAGCGACAAATTACAACAGTAAATTTTCAAAATTTAGAAAATTAGTTAAAAACAATAAATTTCATAAAATTATTATATGTGATGATAAATATCAAATGTGTTGAGAAAAAAATTCACAAATATGGTATTTTGTGCCGGTATATTATAATCTTCCATTTGTAGACTATAGTTTATCTCAATTACAAGGAAAAGAGGGAATCTGAGTTGAGCACTTAAAACCCTGAACCAGATGCTGTAAAGAAACATATAAAAGTTGCCTTCAACATTTTCAATGGGATAGAAACCTGATAACTTTACTTGGCACTCCTTCACGGAACAGTGTCTTACTTGTAAGATTTACACTAAGCCTGCACTGCACTGCACTCTTTTATGTTTAAAATGCAGCTGAATCTTAAAAGAAGAAACGAAAGGTTCCAACCCTTAAATAAGCAAAGAACTAGTAGTATTATGAAGGGCACTTGAAGGACACTCTAGCATTATTAAGTTACATCTCTAGGTCACACTAGGAGCATTATTTCTATCTAGCCAGATTACAACAAAGGCCTGAAAAGGGAAAGAACTTAAGGACACGAAACAGAAGACACTCCTAACATTATTGAGTTACATCTCTAGGTCACACTAGTAGCATTATTTCTAGCCGAGGATTACAACAAAGGCCTGGGAAAAAAATGGCCTGGGCTAGCAGCAGTGGCACAAGCTATAAGACTGCGGGTAGAGCCTCAATCTCATAGTCAATGCTGCAGGAATAAAAAATGGGCGGGTGGAAGACACTTATGGTCAGGAGATCCAGTCGATTGGAACTGCTTCGACTGGCTCGAGCTCAGGCTCAGGCTCAGGCTCAGATAGTTGAAGATTAGTTGAATGGGAGAATTTTTTAGGGAGAGTCATGAGTGGTCCATCATCACCAAGTCCTAGAGCTGCTAATCCCATGGCATATCCCAATGCTCGTCCCACGGGGACAGCTACTGCATTCCCTATCTGGCGATACCTGAGCCAACAATATTAGCAGGAGCAAAAGTCAATATTGAAAAATGAAGAGAATGCCAGTGTACTGTGTACTTGTTCAAGAACTGCATACGCGAACAAATTTAAAAACTAGCAAATTCAGGACGTTTGAAGATAAGATGTAAATGGAAAAGATGCTGCTGCACAGCTGCCATGAACTTGAATCAGATAACATTTAGGAACCCGGAATCCAAGACCTAGAGAAATCAGTAATTCTAACACTTCTATTGCTTATCTCTCGTAGTTGTTAGTTCAACCTAGAGCCAACATTGCCCGTAAGAACAGGCTTGACTGCTGGGACTCTAGCCACTACATTTCTGCTAAACTCTAAAACAACCCATGGCCCACAGCAATACATTCAATCCTAATCTCCGAAGCTTCATGGACTACAGCAATAAGCAATTTGCAATGGCAAAACAAAATTCCAACTGAAAAAAAGATGCAGAGGATATATATGGAAATGCAATCATAGTTCACAATGATGTCTGAACTCAAGTTGACATCTCACTTGGCGCATATTAACTTCACCGGGTACCAAAGAGAGAAAGGACATCAGAAACCAATTGCATACCTTGCTTTAACAGAACCACAGAACCTATAATAATCCGGAAAACCTTGCAGCCTTGCACATTCTCTTATGGTAAGAACTCGATCCTGATCTGGATGGAGCACTGCCTGCACACATGTCTAGAGACTTAAAACCCACAAACAGCATGCATACGGCTTACAGATATTAGGCAAGAGCTAGAGGGAACAAACCTGGCTGTGAAGATCTGGATATGTCACCACGGTGGGTACTGTTTCATCCCACCACAATCTTCCATATGGCCTGTGGAAAGTGCTCATTAATGCAAGACAATTGAGTAACTACAAGAAAGGCAACAACTACAAAGATGCATATAATTCTTACCTTCTAGACTTCCCTTGTGAAAACTTTAGGGCAAAATCTGGTACCTGAAAGAGGAATGAACATTGTAACAATACTAATATTGCATTTCATTAGCCAACCAGTGACGATAATAAAGCCACAGGAAGGGGATTGGAGGAGAAGACACAAACATGTGGCACTTTATTAACAAATACGTTAATGTTTGGAAAGGCTTACAGACATATTGAATTTTTCCAAATGTATACATCTCTTGTTTTACTGTACTTTGTATTTTATTTTTACGCACTTGTATGCGTCTGTGTATCCACTATCAAATTCTTTTTAGAGCATTTAGATGAGTAGATATATAAATCAGATACTAACATACTGCTTTTTTTTTTTCTTCAGAAACAATGGGTTTCCATTCACTAAGAACAACTTGTAGATGTAAATGCTCCGACAACACATGAAAAGTAGCTATCAGAAGTTTCTAACTCTAGTAGACATTCAAGGAACTTAAAGAAGCTTAGTTAATGCACTACGAGGATTGAGCACATTGTAGCCTGAATTTTTTAGCAAAAGATAAAAATTTCTATTCCATTTACACAGGTTTAGATAGTGAAAGCTAGTTCAGTAAAAAAAAAATTGATGTGGACTTCATAAGCATTGCCTTTGAAACATTTTATCAATGAGTTCTGCCAGATGGAGAAATACTTTACAAAATGCACAAAATAAGTGTTGATTATTTTCATCTTCTCAAGAACTTCAGCAACAAATTGACATTCAATTTGATCACTCATAAGGAAATTGTTGAAAAATCACTCACCAGTGGCTTTCCAGATGGTAAAATTACTTGCTCAATCTTTTGATCTCGCCTTGCAACATTGTCTGCCCCAACTACTACTCCAGGGAGATCCCTGAAATTCGCACCCTGTCATCAAGCTTCTCAATTAGAGTGAGAAAGAAGGGAGATTTAATGTGATAACTCATAATAGTCAACCTTTTTTTTCGGGATCTGACAAACACGAGCGTAATCTTCTTCACTCAAGGAGTAAGGACGATGATCATACAGTACATCCTTGGCAATTCTTGCACCACCTTTTGAATGACCTATCATCTCTTAAAATCCCAAAGGAAATGTAATGTGGTAATTACTGATTAGTTCCCTTGTACACAGATAAAGGGAGAAGTTCATGATGCTCGAGAAAGAAATCTCACACAACTAAGTCAAGCAATCAATTGAAATAGCAAATGAAAACACTGTCAAAGGGAACATACTGTAAAAGTTTAAAAATCTCAGAGAAAGCCATTAGGGCTGAAAGAGTTTTCAAATAGAGGAGGTTGAGTTACCAGACTCTGGGGACCGAATGAATCTTTGAAACTCGGTTTCTGGGGGCTTGTCGTATGGCATTTCATCACGGTGTTCATTGCTGGAAACCTACAAATATCGGGGAATGTGAGAAAACAATCCAACCAATAAGGAATTTGTGGAAAGAGCAGATAAACCTACAGCTGGAAGATCAGATATGGCATCTTCAAGAACTAAGGCTTTTTCTAATGGACGTGGCTGATCTTCATCATAAGCAACAGTATTGCGCTGCAAAAAAAAGTCATATCAATATCTAGATACACAATCCAAATATATGTTTTGTTGGTTGGAAAATCTGTACCTCAAATTCAGGCGGTGGCCAATATCTGACAACAACATCATGAGTAGGAAGCGGAAACTGTGGAAGTTTCTGCTCAGGCAAAAATGAAACAAGAGAATTTCAGGGGTAACTCCACAGAACATTAATTCAAATTTAAGCTCTCGTGGATGAAAATAAGAGGCACAAGATGCACGTACACTGGCGAGAAGTCAAGGCCACTAAAGGCACGAGGTGCAAGGACTTCTGTCTAGTGCATGAAGTGGAGCCCAACTTTGACAGTCTTAACTTGAGGTTTATTTTAAAAACGGTGTTTCTAGTTTCTACATGATGGTTGTTAACTAGAAAAATGAAGATCGAAGCTTACCTCACAAGGATGCGCTCCCCACAAGAAGACGCGGAGACGAAACTGGGGGAGACCATAACAACCAGCTGCAACAGTACCAAGCCTTGCTTGGTACTTCATTTGTACCAGACGACTTAAAGCGTATCTTGCAAGAGAAGCCTTGTCAAATCTAAGAATATCAACTACATTTTCCATCAACACAAAGTTGGGTTTTAAGAACTGCACTATGTCCATGAAAACGCCAATCTGTTGATTTCGTTCATCATCAAGTGGAGAATCAAAATTTCTGAAGCGATTATAGCCACTAATTCCCTGGCATGGA